AGTTCTGGAGGATGTGTTGGAGACCGGAGAGGGAAGAGAGCTGCCCAGCACCCTGACTGAGATGTACATCCACTTCCTGGTGGTTCAGACCAAAGTGAAGAAGGTCAAGTATGATGGAGGAGCTGAGACAGATCCACACTGGAGTCCAGAAAGCAGGAAGATGATTGAGTCTCTGGGAAAACTGGCTTTTGATCAGCTGCAGAAAGGAAACCTGATCTTCTATGAATCCAGGAGATCCAGCAGTCTCTGAGATCAGGAAGTCTCTCCATAGATAAACTGTCTCCTGCTCAGTATTCAGCTCTGGCCTTCATCTTAGTGACATCAGGAGATGATCTCAATTCATTTGACCTGAAGAAATACTCTGCTTCAGAGGAGGCTCTTCTCAGGCTGCTGCAAGTGGTCAAAGCTTCAAAAACAATTCTGTAAGTACTGATGGAATAAGGTTTTCTACACCAAGTGCTAAAACCAGAAAGTATCACTATTATTTTGATTAAACTTATGTTTCACTTTCTGTATTATGAAAGTATCTTTTGTAAGAATTACAACAAGTCAAAACATTTACAGACTGACATTTCTCTAATAGTTTTGAATAAGATTTTTAATATTAGCACAAAATGATTTATCTTGTCAAAGTGGAACAACTTTTCAATTATTTGTTTCTTTTATTGTTGTATATCATGGATTATGTTTGTCTTCGCTAGAAATACAGACAGAAATTAAGTTATATTTATAAGCTTTAAAGTAGGAAATGTTAAATCACTTTAATATTACAGCTTATTTCTGGAGAATGACAAAGCTAAGATCCTGTGAGACTTCCAGATGCAGACAGACAAAATGGTCATGGCCAACCAACTACACATGTTGATCATTGATAAACAACAGAGGACTGCAGTAGTCATCGATGTGGCCATCCCATATTATGGAAATATCACGAAAAAAGAAGATGAGATATGGCCCCAGGGAGGAACTAGTAAGAGCCAGGATGGTGAAGACAACTTAGGACCCGTGGCCACCTGAGCACTGGGGTAGAAACCCCCACAATGGAAAAGTGGTTCCAATAGATGCCTGGAGAAACTGCAGAGATCTTGGTTCAGAAATGCAGAATTCTTTGGGACATCTAAGAAAGAATCCTCAAGGGAGGACCAAGCTGGAGATGAAAACCACATACCAAATAATTTAAACTATTTTCCTTGGGATTTTGGCGTGTGAAAGAAAAATGTGAAAAAGTTATCAGTCGTTATTTTTCTCCCCAATAATTTCAGCACCAGGCTGTCACACAGCCACTTACCTGTTCTCCGTGTTTCACCCCTGTCAAGATAAGGCACACCATTAAACATATGTTTAGCATTGACATCTGCTACAAGCCACATTTGGATGCCAAACTTATCTGGTATATGTGTCATGTATTGCAGAAAGCTGCATCAGGCCTTGGTGGGAAGGAGCTGTTCATCCATAGTGATGTCAGCTCCAGGTTTGTAGCAGGAGATGCTGTGTTCTACAAACCCTACCCAGACCTCATTTATCAGCACAAATGTTGAAATACGGACGTGTCCAGTCCTAAGCTCTTTATTATAAAATCTCAGACGTCTCCCTCTATTTTATCCATTGCTCACCGTGGTCCACACTGTGCCATCCTTTGCCCTCTCCTGTCGATCTGCTGAGAGGAGGAGGGGTTGACTGGGGGCTGAGCGAAGTCACCCTCAGCTGATTGTGGAGATACTGTATAGATAAAGTTTATTAGTTGTACTACTCTTTGTCACTATNGAAGGTCAAGTATGATGGAGGAGCTGAGACAGATCCACACTGGAGTCCAGAGAGCAGGAAGATGATGGAGTCTCTGGGAAAACTAGCTTTTGATCAGCTGCAGAAAGGAAATCTGATCTTCTATGAATCAGACCTGACAGAGTGTGGCATCGACATCAGAGCAGCCTCAGTTTACTCAGGAGTGTTCACACAGATCTTTAAAGAGGAGAGGGGACTGTACCAGAACCAGAACAAAGTGTTCTGCTTCGTCCATCTTAGTATTCAGGAGTTTCTGGCTGCTCTTTATGTTCATCAGACCTTTATCAAGAATGGAGTCAATCTGATGGAAGAACAACAAAAAAATTCTGTTAGGTGTAGATTATCTAAGACAGTGAAACCAAGCAGTCTCTATCAGAGTGCTGTGGACAAGGCCATAGAGAGTCCAAATGGACACCTGGACTTGTTCCTCCGCTTCCTCCTGGGTCTTTCACTTCAGAGCAATCGTATTCTCCTACAAGGTCTGATGACAAAGGCAAGAGGTTGCTCGTTGACCAATCAGAAAACAGTTCAGTACATAAAAAAAAAGATGAATAAGAATCTATCTCCAGAGAAAAACATCAACCTGTTCCACTGCCTGAATGAACTGAATGATCGTTCTCTGGTCCAGGAGATCCAACATTCTCTGAGATCAGGAAGTCTCTCCACAGAAAAACTGTCTCCTGCTCAATGGTCAGCTCTGGCCTTCATCTTAGTGACATCAGGAGAAGATCTGGATGTGTTTGACCTGAAGAAATACTCTCCTTCAGAGGAGACCCTTCTAAGGCTGCTGCCAGTGGTCAAAGCTTCAAACAAAGTTCTGTAAGTATTGACGGAAACAAAATCAGGAGTGACTGTTAAAGTGGATACTCTGAGTAACATTTAAAAGGAGATATAGAAAATAGATGTGGTATGTTTAACTGATATTTCTATCTGAATATACATAGAAATAAATACTAGTCAAGATGTTTTACAGACTAACTTTTCTCTAAAAGACCTGAATAAGATTTATAATCTTGGCCCACAATTGTTCCTCTGATAAAAGTGGAACTATTAAGTTATTTTCTTTACTGATGTAAATCATGAATATTGTTCATCCTAGACCTAGATACAGATATTAATTTAAACCTATCTGATAGACAAGTTCCAGTTACATCTTAGTTTAGTTAATCTGTTATCTGGAATATAAATAAACATTTTCTACAGCACCACCATTCATACAGTCTATCTGACTTCACATGGTAACCATCTCTTACAGTAGCAACCATTCAAAATGGCCCTTCTCAGTCAAACGCCAGCCAAAATGCAGCCCACTTCCCTGCAGCAAAATCCCTTCCAATTTCCAGCCTCTTGCTTTCTCCTCGGCATAAATATTGTTTAATGAATCCATTCTTTCACTGAATTACAGGGTCTGACCAGGAGATAAAGCTTCTCTTTAGATCTCAATGTCCACAAATCATAAACAGAGTGGTTTAGTACAAAGATTGATGTTTAAAAAGGAATTGTAGGGGACCAGCCAAGGGCCAATCAAGGAAAGTGCGGAAATTTTGAATGGCTATTACTGTATCTCCATATAGATATGGAGGGAAAGATATCTGCCTTGTAAAGTTATTGGCTGAGTCTGAACGTCCACCCTACCACTATATAGAGTACTATATTGGGGTTACATAATTTTAAATGAGCATCCAAGATGAAAACGTCTAAAGGATGAAAACGTAGTGAACTCAAAATTTCCCGCAATGCATCTTGAAAAGTGTATCATGATCTTGGAACTGAAGCAGGTTTGATTTCTCACTTGACAAAACTGCTTGGCTCCGTTCTTGTTACAACTCATCGGATCAACCCGCACCTCTCAGTATATAACCACCCTTCAGCACAGACATCACTGCCAGATTATTTCGAACCACATGGCAAGACCTATTCCAACATACTGTTCCTGACTTCCTGCCTGCTTTGCTTGGCCTGATCTGTCCCTGTTTCTAAGCATGCCTGAAACCCATCTGATCTAATTGCCTGCTTGTTTTCCAGACCTGTCTTTTCTCTTGATTATCTGAACCCTATCTGACCTGAAAGCCTCCCTGTTACCATACTTGGAACTGTGCCCTGACTCTTCCTTGGATTGCCCCTCAGATTTTCTGTGGAAATCAGATCACCTTTCTTGAACACTGGGCCTGCTCATGGAACTGGCTGTCTGGTTTCACTTTTGCTATCTATGCTTGTTTTTGCTCTCATGGTTCTGACCCATTGCGTTCTCCTGGAAAAACCTTTAACTAACACAAAAGGCTTCTATGGAGATGTCCTGGAGGAAACTTTGAGCGCAACAAGGCTCTGTGTCGCTACACGCCAACTGGCAACACCAGTGATTCTCTGTGTTTGGATTCAAATGTTTGCCAGGTCTGTGATCCAGAATTCTCTGTGAATTCATTCCACCAGTCATTTTGTGGTGTCTAATATTACTTCTGTAGTGATCATCTCTCCGAACTGCCAGTTAACTGAGTTTAATTTAAGGTCCACTGTATAGTTCCTGCTCTATATAGTGATTGAGGGGTTTAAACGTTAGGGCGAATGTTTGGACATAGCTGTTAATGATGTAAATGCACACTAGCTCTTGGGTTACTGGAACCAAGGTGCTGTTTCATACACTGAGCTCTAGCAGCCTTTCTGTCTTCTTCTGTTCTTAACAACAACATTTCTGTAAAAGATGGTGGTTTTGACTTGCGCTGCTTAAGCTGGAGCTCAGAGATTAATGTGTTATGCCAACAACCATGACAGAATTGATTCAGCAGATGCTTTTCAAAATCAGCAGCCAATACTCTGCCTCTCCTTACAGCATGGTTTAAAGTCACTTGCAGGCGTTGTACATAAACTGATGGTTTTTCACCTGCGTCTTGAAACTGCTCCATACATTTTGCACACAGTTATCACCATCTTTGACTGTTCCATAAGCAGAGTCAAGGATTTAAACTTAAAAGAGGTGCATCTGGTTGAAGATGTTTAACCATGTCTGCAGCTGGTGGTTAAAGACTGCCAAATATCTTTCTAGAATGGTGTAGTTCTGACACGGTAGGATCCTTTAAGAGAAGGTCAATGCCAGACCGCCAAGCTTCATAATCCATTTCGTATTGTGGTCTTGGAGTTCGACCAGAAAATGATCAAAATTTTAATGAAGACATGTGCATTGCCATAACTTTTCAAGATATGCTTAACCACATACCTCTGCACTCCAGGTGAGTTGATATCTAAAAAAGACATAGCTGGCAAGGGTCCAGAAGGTTGTGATGTGTAGTGTGCTGTAGGATCAGGTTGGACGTGTGGTAGCTTCCCGTCATCTGCAGTGACATTTTCTGGTTTGAGAGGAATAGCACCCTTGGTTGCCATCTGTGATGTACGAGAAGCAGCTATGGCCAAATCCCCTTCTTCTGAAGGTGTCTTCAAGAAAGAGGGTGCTGGACAGAGTTCAGTAATGGACTGGCCCAGTAAAGACACTATGCTCTTGAGGACATCGTTGTAATTCTAACTTGTAAGCTTAGCCATGTGTTTCATTTCATTGAGGTAAGTTTGAGTTTTTTATCTAACTCAGAACAAACCACTGGAAGTTCTTCAATTTCATAAGTAATTTTTTAAAGTTTTGCAAAGATAAATGTATGGCAAGATTTCACGCAACCCCTCTAACGCACTTCGTGATACAAACTCAAAAAATATGCAATTATAAAAATCTGAGTCAGAATCAGTTATAATTTAAGACTTTTCCATTAACCTGTAACCTGTCAGAAAATCAGCAACTTCATTATCAGTTTCTGTGTTTGTTGCATATTTAATCAATTAGGTATACTACATTAGGTATTTTAACCTCATATTTCACCAAGACGTCCATAATAGCATCGAAATAGCAAACTGCAATACTTCAGCTCTGTACAAAACTGCTCCTGGCTAGCTCACCATAAATTAAAGTAGCATATCTGTAGAAAAACAACAGTATATTATATTTTAAATCAATGCAAATTGATTATAACCAATAAGGTAAATATACTTGTTTTCAGAACATGGATACGACTCATGAAACAGCAGACAGAGACTAGAAGTTTGCAGTTGCAAGTGCCTTGTACTTATAGTGAGGAAAATTGAATACATATTTACAACATCATTGAAACATAGAAAAAGACAAAGAGAAAAAAAACCCAAATTAATTAATTTCACACTTAATGATACCACATCCATTCAGTTCATTCACCCCAAGCTGGGGTTGAATAAAGGCCCACGCAAGTTCCTTTTAAAGTGCTTGGTGTAGTGCAGGTTGTGGAATGACAAAAGTCAGAGCAGAGTGGAAACAAAATTGTTTGTTGGCTGCAAGGAGCCTCCTACCAGCCTGGCAGGAGATCCAAAGTCTTCATGTACCCAAAACTGCAATCTTTCTTGGGCTCTAGGCCTGAACCTTCAGCTTGCCATCAACATCTAGCCAATTCTGCAGCTTGTATCTCACACAAACAGGTTTTTTTTCCCATCTCACCTCAGCTAAGTAGTTAGCCCGTGCAGCTCTGCTTCTCCCAACATGCCTTAAATTTTCATATTTCCGCACTCCAACTAATATACCTAGCTGATAGGCTGTGATACATGTGACCCTAATACTCAACAGCAATTGGCTGTGTAGTAATGAGAGGAAGTAAAAAATTACATAGATTTGATCACTGGGATCTTTCTCCATTATCTGAAATCACTGGGATTTACACCCAGGTTAAAATAGATGGTGAAAGTTGAAGTATCAACTTGACCTCAAGTAAAAGTGAAAAAGTATGTGCTCCAAAAACTACTTAAAGTATAAAAGTATAAAGTAACCTTTAAAAAACATTCAGATGCCACTATATAAATTGAGAGCTCAATTTTTTCGACTACCAAGGATGAGGGATGTTGGTATCCATCTCCATGTCCCGATATGCTCTCGCCTGTGTCCGACCTTTCAGACATTTCAACATCTTTTTCTGAATCCGACATTGTAGCATGGCATAGACAATGTGTGTTTACAGTTTGAAGAACACCTGCTTGCGTCTGATGATTTCCTTTGGCGTCAGCACAAATTTGACGAATAGCTAACCAATGAGTGTTTGCATTATATGACTCATCCAATCACACTAGTTTTCACTAGATGTGGATAGTGCCAATGATCTGCATTGGATTGAGCACATGATGGGGAATAAATATTTATAAACATTAAACCAAAACCCAGATTAAGGAGCAACATTTGTTTTAAAAATGTAAGGAATAGAAAGTACAGATACTTGTGTGAAAATGTAATAAGTAGAAGTAATGGAGTAAAGTATAGACACCTAAAAAGTGTAATTAAGTACAGTAACAAAGTATTTGTACTTGATTACTTGACAACTCCGGTTAAGGTGATAGTGTAATCTAACTATCAAGGCTTTGACTATTCCGCTTATTCTACTTTATTTATTGTAAAAATACCACAAAATTATCCAGTTAGTTCCATACGGCTTTGTCATGATTTTACAAAGTTCAGACCCAAATGCAGGAAACTGAACAGGGAGACCATGGAAAAGTTTTTTAACGGGTTTTATTGAAAAGGTTAAACAGAGGGAGAAGTGTTGCTCTGAACACTGCTCAACCGGAACTGAAAAGTGAGGGGAAGACAGAGCGGATAGTTCAGGCTCAGTGGGGAATTTGACTTGTGAACTTGGAGAAGAGAATTTGGTTGCTGACTCACATTTCCAGAGAAGTAGTTTAATCCTTGACTCCTGTCTGTGTGCTGTAGTTTCATTGTTTGTCTTATTCGGAGGAGGGCGGAACAGGGTTTACCAAGAATGCGGTTGTTAGTTGGTGAATGGAGAAAACTGACTGCCACTCAGATTTCCTGCGGTACTTGAACGGGTCGTAGTGGAGAATAATCCCTTTCTCAGTGCAAAGCTCAAACGATCTCTTGGGGAGAGTGGATCCAAACCTCCTGTTTGAACCCCAGCTCAGTTTGAAGCTCAGTTGATCCTTTCAGGGAGAGAAGGTCCGAGAAATCCAGTTTGCAGGATGACTTTCTGCCGAGAGGCAAAGACAAAAACAAAGTTAAACTAAGGTTGACAAAAACTCAGTTTAACTCAGCAAAACTCAGCTTGGCTAGAGTACCCAAAACTGGCAAACACTCTGGAGTCAAGGTAGTGGCAGTCAGCAGCTTAAGAACACTCAACAAGGAAACCATCATCAGGTGTGTGAGGAGGTGGACCTGAACCAGGCGCCTTCTGATGGATGAAGGGAGACAAACACAGAGACACATACACAGACATCTAGTAGTAACTTATTAAAATCAAATTCTTTTCAGAAAATATTCTATTTTTTGCTGATCATAAACAATGCTTTGTTGATCTTGTTTGAATTAAATCCAAAGCCTTTATCCAACCCTGATATTTGTGAACCCTTCCACATGTATTTATTGTTTAGTTTTCAAGTATTAGGTACAAAGCTGGAGGATAATTACTCAATAGCAATAGTGATTTCTGTTTACCAATCAGTCTGTACATATTACAACATCATTCAGTTTAACCAGGTCACAGAACACAGTACCCAATGTTCTAACCTTAGGATCTGGCAACTAAATTTTACACTGCACAACATCTAATTTGGTTTATCATTTAAAAACATTTCCTCTTCATTTCTATCCCTGTCTCTTTAGACTGAATTACTGTAACCTCTCAGAGAGAAGCTGTGAAGGTCTGGCCTCAGTTCTCAGCTCCCAGTCCTCTAATCTGAGGGAGATGGATCTGAGTAACAACAAGCTGCAGGATTCTGGAATTGAGCTGCTGTCTTCTGGACTGAAGAGTCCAGACTGCAAGATGGAAAATCTTAGGTCTGAACAGATTTATGGATTTGGCATGAGCTGCATTGTTCTGAGCTTAAAGTCTAAATTTACCCCTGCACAACATCTATATTAACAATAAATATTTCCTCTTCATTTCTATCCCTGTCTCTTCAGACTGAATGACTGTAACCTCTCAGAGAGAAGCTGTGAAGTTCTGGCATCAGTTCTCAGCTCCCAGTCCTCTAATCTGAGAGAGATGGATCTGAGTAACAACAAGCTGCAGGATTCTGGAATTGAGCTGCTGTCTTCTGGACTGAAGAGTCCAAACTGCAAACTGGAAACTCTCAGGTCTGAACTGATTTATTCTCTATATTAATAATTATGTTCGTGGATATCAGTAGTCTACATTATTTTGAAGGTACTGAGTTATTTATTTATTATTATTATTATTTTTTGAGTTACTTATAATATAGCTGAATAAGTTATCTGATTAATACATTTATTTTTCTGTTTAGAATCTATAGATGATACTCAATAGATATATCTTTAGAATTAACCACTGAGAAATTAATGAATCTTAGCTGGTTAAAAACATCTCATTCCATCACCTTCACCAACTTGGAGTTAAGAGATCTCATAAAAATTGACCTTGTGTTAGTTGTTTAATTTGAGCACTTTAAAAAAAAGAATATGTAAAAAGTTATTTCAAAGAACTGCAGGGAAAGCACTTTAGTTTTAATAATAAGTGTCCAAAAGAAATTCTCAACTGAAGAAAGGGTTCTCTTCCCGATCTGAAAAAAATAAATCTCTGAAAGCATCAGGGCCATAGGCCATAGAAAAATTTTACGTAAATGGACAGCTTTTCACGGATAAGAAAAACTCCATGGCCGTTCAAAAAAAAAGATAGACTTTTCATGTATTAAAAAATAAAACAAAAATCTCATTAGATCAGGTTTATTTACCAGTAACTGCAATTCATATGAAGCACAGCTTAGTATGATACTGTATGGTGTATGTGGTTATGTCAGAACGTTTTGGCATCTGTGTGTGCTTTCTCTCTCCCATACTCTCTGACTTCTCTCTCTTTCACCTTACTTCACTGTCACAATTCAACTCTGTCTAACTTTTCTGCTGCTCTGTATTTCTGCTTCCTATAATTCTGCCTTTAAACCAATATCTAGACAACCACAGGCTTTGAGCAGCATTTCAATGGGTCACATATTACCCATTCACACTTCAATTTGGCTAAACTAAGGTTAATCAACTGGATCATGGATGCGTCTGTGGAGAGGTCATTTGGTTTCTCCAAAATAAAGATCAGAGCATTCCTCACTTCATTGAACTGCATACACCACTCCACTCGTATAAGGTCTGGGAGTTTTGTCTTTAGGATGCACTAGTCTCTGTTCAAGTCTCGGCTCAACACAGGTAAACTACCTCCTCCTGACAAGACTCGGCTGTACTTATGGACAAAGGACATTCTTTTGAGGGACAGAAATTTCAAATTTTGGACAAAGAAGACAGGTGGCTTTAAAGGGGTGTGAAGGAAGCTTTTACTGTTAGGAGAGAAAATCTAACCTTAAACAGAGGGGGTGGACTCAGGTTTACACTCTCAAAAACCAACAATGCAGCAATGGAGTTGATTCCTTCCCACTATAGTCTCAACCCACATTCCCATGCAGGGAACCAAAACATCTCACCTGGTCAGTCAGGCCAACAATGCCCCTAACAATGCCCCTTTCAGAGGCATATACCACCATAGATATCCATAATAAAGGCTAGATGTCT